AAAAGATATTATGCCACGATCAAGTGGGATTTATCTCAGGGATTCAAGGAGGTTTCAACATAGGCAAATCAATAAACATGATATTATATTCAAATATGAAAATGTGATAAAACTTTAACATCCCTTCATGATATATATATAAAAAAACTTAACAAAAGCTAGGCGTGAAGGGGACATATCTCAACATGATAAATGTTATATATAACACACAACTAATACCATGCTGAATGGGGAAAAGCTGAAAGCCTTTCCTCCAAGAACTGGAATAAGACTTAAGGATGCTACTTTGACCCCTCTTATTCACCATTGCAGTGAAGACCTAACCCTGAGCAATGAGGCAAGAAAAAGTAGTAAAGGGCCCAGGTATGGTGGCTCAAGTGGTCCCAGCTACTTGAGAGGCTGAGGTGGGAGGATCGCTTGAGCCCAGGAGGATGAGGTTGTGGTATCCCCTGCAAGGCAATGGTATTAGGAAAATAGGGCCTTTTGTGGGTGATTAGGTCATAAGGGGTTAACCCTCATGCACTAATAAGAGACCCAGGAGAGCTCCCTTGCCCTTTCCACTGTGTGAGGACATTCTGCAGCCTGGAAGAAGGCCCCACCATGACCCAGCCATGCTGGTATCCTAATCTGAGATTTCCAGCTTCCAGACTGATAAATAAACTTGTTTTTTATAAACCACCCAGTCTTCTACAACTGGTTACAGCAGCCAAAACTAAGACAGGAAGGATATAACCATTTTTGGTTGACATTTCTGAAACAGTTAACTTCCATTAAAGGATCTAACTAGAATATCTCACCTTTAAAATACTTGTTGAATGAGATATTTTTTGAAGCTGTTTTATTTTGATTTTGCCTTTCCTTGACTAACCTTGTTAACACTTCTTAACTGTAAAATGTCATTATTGTCTCATAGCCTCTTAATATTCTATTGTTAATAAATTAAGAGGGTTTTTCTCCATTTTAAACTAGAGTCAAGGGGTCAGCTTGCAAGTTAAAAGTTTTCACATTTTTAAGGAGCTTTTTTTTCCCCCCCAAAAAAAACAGTATGTGATCTACAAAGCCTAAATATTTATTATCTGACCTTTTACTGAAGGAAACTGCCTAATAGACTAATAACAGCAGGTCCTACACAAAGAAATATACTTTGGTCTACTTATTTTGAAACAGTGCTTTTATGACCAGCCAGGCAAACCAAACTGATTGCTCCACCTACATTTGATGACACATTTGGCCAGCAGAACACTGGAAAGCAGGCCTCAGCTTAGTCTTCTTTGGGCTTTAATTTCACCATTCTTAGGATTCACGGAGGCTCTAAATTTAGATCGTGAATACCACCTCAAAATCAGGCAGGATTCGTGTAGTCTCTGGGCCATGAGTTGTTCATCATTTGCCTAATGTTCAGCAATAATCAAGTTTGGAAAACATGAAATATCAACAATGCTAGGTAGTATACAGTGAATGTTAAATGAGGGATTATATGAATCTTAAGGAATGTGGATAGTATGAAAGTCTGAGTGGGTTTAGATAGGTGGGCAGCACTGTCTAAACACAAGGCAGAGGGCAAGGCTCAGATCAGAGGCGTTTTATGGCAGGGAGGAGAGTCTGGCTAAAGCACAGATAGAGGAATTTCATAACAGGCAGTGATATAAACAAGCTGGGGTTACAGCCTCAATAGAATGGTCTCAGGAAAAGTATTTTAGCACTCCTCACTGTATTGAAAGAAAATACAGACTCAAACCATGGCTGTTCTCCTGAATAATCAAATAAATGTGGAATCTCTGGCATTCAGCCAAGTTCATGGGGCGTCACTAAGCATATACACTGGCTATGTGCAAAGCAGCCCTGCCCTGAGCTCCCACAGGCCTGGGAAGTTTTCACTGATGCTGACTCTCTCTTGGCACTGTTAAGTGTGCAGGGCTGCACTGTCTGCCAGTGAAGAACAATGGTCAGGGTGTTTTAAGAGACATTTTTAACTAGAAGTTAATTTCTGGGTGTCAGGAATCGACAGGGAAGTTTAGGTTATCAAAGACTATCCTCGGAGAGGATTTAAATGACTACATCTCCACCCAAATCTGGGACTGACTCATGATGCCAAGATGCCCAGAGAAACAAGATGAGTCATTGCCCAAGGAATTTGGGGGAGGGGCTTAGAAGTTAAATGTTGTACATTAATGTGAAAAGCAAGGAGACATCTGTGTATTCAGGGCTGAAATCAAAGCTGGGGCCTACATCCACATCAAGCAAGTATTTCCACTGCCTAGTCAGTAAAATGAAGTGTATAGTTGCTTTGACCTGCTTTCTTCTCCAGAAAGGTCTATAACAAATCTATTTATCTAGGCTTCTTCTTTTCTTCTAGGCCATTATAACTTTCCATCTGTTAAATCAAACTAAAATCTGGCCTGAAAACCCCCTATTCACATATTTGAGTTCTTCCTTAAGTACAGCCTAACTTGGTAGGTAAGCAAACTGCAAGCCTGACTTAGGAATGTGCTTCTGCAACAATAGCTGAGTCTCAGCCAGTCCCAGCAGCCATATTTCAGCCACTCACAGCCATTCAAACCACACTCAAATAAGGCTCAAAAGCCGAGCTGTAACCAATCCAGCAGTTTCTGCACCTCACTTCATTTTCTGGACTCACTTTCCTTTTTTCTGTCCACAAATTCTCCCTGACCACTTAGAAGTGCTGGAGTCATTCAGAGTCTGCTGTGATTCTGAGGGCTGCCCAATTTAAGAGTCATTTCTTTCTTCCTCAATGAAACCCTTAAATTTGTTTAAAGCTGTTCTTTTGACACGTCTAAATGGTTCATACTGATCCAATTACCATACTATGGCTGACATCATTTTCCCGAGTTGATATCCCTCATACGTGGCTGCATGTCCACAGAGCAGGCTTGCCATGGAGGCCCTCTAAACATCAATGTCATCCCCTCTATGGTAATTTTAATCTCTCACAAAACAGCCCTCAGTACAAGTTTCTATTTGACCAATTACACACATGTAACGAGTGTTTTGAGAAGGGTCAAGGAAGAAGAGCAGAAAATGATAAAATACGGAATGTTCTATCTGAGAATTTTCTTTAAAATTACAAACAGTGGGTCAAAGTTATGTGTCAGTCACTTCCAGAATGTCATTTTACTTCCAGAGATCTGCATCAGCTAACCTTTAAAATAAATGGACTAGGGTTCAGACCAAGTCACCAATCAGTACAGCATGGGATCCTGATTATCAAGAGACCCGAGAGCTCACAGAACTCAGCAGCCCTCCCAAGGTGCCCATTCCTTCACTTGTCAAATAGTAGCAATCCTCCCTTATCTCTTCATGGAAACTTTTAGTCAAAAATAAAAGTAGTATAAACTGCAAATCATCATCAAGATCAATCAAAACTCAGATTCCTAGGTCTCTCATAAAGAGGGACTTGGGCACTGACACACACAGGCGAGCAAATAACAAACCACAAAAGCTAGTGAGACAAAAGTGACACTTAGTGAGGTAGTGAGGTATAGCCCAGGGCATACAAAGCATGTCCACACATTCAAACGCCCTTCAGTGTAGTCACAGGCCCACGCTGTGAGAAGAGCTCTCAGGACAGTAACGGCTCTAGCTATTGCCCGGCCTTCCGGGTCTGCCCTAGTCCTTGTGACCTAATTAAAAAGAAAAAAAAAAATGTTGTCTCCCTTAAGAAAGAATGCTGATTTTTTTTTCTAATAAGATAAATGAACAGAAGATGTCAGAATAGTATTTGCTGCTACCTTCAGATAAGTCACATTTTCTATGCCGCGTCTGCAGAAACATTTGAGTGTGTGTCTTAAAAAGGAAGCCCTAAATTCTGCTGAATCATACTCTGTGCTTTCTCACTAAATTTAATTCATGTAAAATGAACACTCTGAAAATTAGCTGTTGCAATGGTTTAAAGTTGTGAATTTGAATTTTATATAACACATCTTCAATTGATATATTCTTTTAATGTTTGGAATTTGGTTTTTCAAATAAAAACAAGATTCTAGTAAAACATTGTCAATTTTCTCTGAGACTAAATTAACTCCCATTAGTTTTCCCTTAATGCATACCATGCACTTTAAGTCTAAGCATTAAATTATCATACAGCACTTAACGTGATCAAAGGGAAAACCTCAGGAAATCACAGAATACAACTGTATACACCCAAATATACATTGTTTTATTAATAATACTTTACATGTAAAGAGAGAACATTATAAAAAAATTAAAATAAAATAAAATTGACCTTTAAAAAACCTAAAGCCTGGTTCTTGCATTAGAACCACATCACTTGAATGTGTCCTGAAGCCTGGTTCTTGCATTTTTGAGTTACTCTCAAAAAACTACATACTCATCTCTAGCTTAAGATGCAAAATGTGGGTGGCAATCTTCTTAAGTCCTCACTGCCAGCTTGGTATGATGCAAGGGCAAATTGCCATGCTGCTGCTCTGCAGGCTGGCATCAGAATTAGACCTGGAAGTTGTATAGATGAGAGGCTCCAGAAGTGGCAAACGCCTTTCCCAGAAGTTGAAAAACCCTTCTGGTCCCTTGCAGAGCAGTCTGGGAATGTTTTAGAAAATGAAAGGAAAACAAAATCTGCTCAAATAGGAACAAGGACAGCTAATGAACAAAACTCGACTCCTCATCACAGCAGAGCCCAGGAGGAAAGCAGCTCTGCTGCTGTTCACCCACACTGAGCAGATAGGGGAGTGGCTCCCAGTTAGGGAGGAGGTTAACAAGCAACAGCAGCCCCTTGACCCAGTCCTTCAGATTAGTGACCCGCTGTGATTACACAGAAGCTGTGTGTTCCAGAAAACCACTTCAGGAAACGTCCCAAAGTAAGGGCACACATCAACTAATTCTTAGCATGAAACTTACAGATTTGCAGAATATCTGCTTTACCTTTTGCCACTGGCTAATTAGGACAGGAGAGGACACTGATGCTGAGCACATTAATTCCACGCAGCACAGAAGCTAACCATCAAAATACACAAAGTACTTACTGCCACAAACAGCATGCAGTACATGGAGAACGAAGAGTGGCCTGAGTAGAAGGACAACCTAGAAGAAGAAGACAAATGTTACTTTTTTCTCTTACGAGCCAAAAGTATTCTTGATTTCATAAATCTGCTCCTTAGCTTCAGAATGCACACAACTGCCTCCCTCCATCTTGAGAAATTAGAAGGGTGGAGCAGGAGGACAATTAGGACAGGATCATTAAAGAGTGCAAGAAGGATTCATTTTATTGAAACTTTCAGGATGGGTAATGTGTCATGAGAATAAACTTGCCAAGTGTTTCTAAGATGTTACAAGAATGATACTTGACAAGTCATAACTGGCACAAATGGCCTTGACTTTTACATGTGCACTTATGTGACCATTATTTAAGTTTTATTTTCCACTTGCAGGGTTAGTCCTTGAGTAATGTAATACCTCCTTGGGAACACTCAGAAGTCGATTGCTTTTTTCCATCCATATTAATATTTTAGTGTTTTAAATGGGCACACATCTTGCCTCACATTTCCCACCAGATTCAGTGCTTTTGTTTCTTTCAGTATTAGTGTCTATAAACATCTGAGTATCATCTTCCTCACCTAAAAATGACAGAATGCTTACAAAATTTTATAGCACTTCTGAGAAAAGAAAAATAGAGCTCACTAACATTCAAGATCTAAGTTTTGCTTATCCAGAATTAGCCACTGATGCAGAAGAGACAAGCACATCAAGCACAGTAAAAGTAAGCCACAAAAAGATGGTCATGCAAATAACTAGAATATATCTCCTGACTGCTTTTCCCTACATAAGAATAAAAACAAAAACAAGAGGGACAGGCTCTTAAGTAATTTACTTATTACACTCTGCCTTGTTCAAATGGAATTTAAGGGAGAGGTTGGTTCCCTGGATTCAGACAGGAGAAAAACCACCTAACACACATATCAGAAAGTCATGCGTGTATGTTCGGCAGCTGCCAGCGGGTGCAAAAGTAAGGATTACTTAAGTGTATACACTGATGATGATTCTACCAAGAATTTTGATTGCCTTTTTCTAAATCAGATATATGCCTAAGAAAGCAAATTCTCTTAATTTCCTGTGCCAAGCAGGAATTATGTAATTAAACCCAATAATTATTCTGGGTTTAGTCTATGTAAAGGGAGAAAAATAAATCACTTTTTAGCCTAGCTATATGACCGTACAGAATGGATCAATACAAACAGTAATTTTAAATCAGATAATTAGAGCAGAGTGCTGCATATTTTATAGTTTCAATGTTTTATTGAAGAGCCTACAAGTTAATAAAAGCCAATTTCAAGGATTGTCAGACCCCATCAAGCCAACATAACCATGATCCCAGAAATATTCTCAAAGCCAAGCAAGTGAGGTTTCACTAAATCCTTTACACTGTGCTACAAAATCATAAACTGCAAACTAATGTAATAGTTTTAAACAGCTCTGAATCATCCATAGGGTGATTTCATTCATTGGTTTCCATTTTTTACACTGAATACAAAAACAGATACTTTATTCAGTATAGAATTTGTGAAGAAGTCTGGCTATGACTTTGACAGTGATTAAAAACAAAGAGGTAATTCTATTCAATTTCAGCATCTACGTCTGTATCTACAGTAATTTACACAACAGATCATGGTAATATGAACTTCTATTTCTATTAAAAAGCAAACAGAATAAAGCACAAAAAAATGGAAATTCTAATTATTCATATTCCATATAAATCTAACTCTTTATTGGAGTCTCTAGGAGATACAGCTCTTAAGTATATCTTATTATGACCAGAATGCACAAATCGACTGTATATCTGTATGGGTGGTTTAATAAAACCCAAGGAGTAGCCCAAATGCTTTTTCTGGGGCAGGAGGCGGTGGGGGGAGAATGGAATCTCACTCTGTTGCCCAGGCTGGAGTGCAGTAGCACATTCTTGGCTCACTGCACCCTCCACCTCCTAGGTTCATGCAATTCTTCTGCCTCCGCCTCCCAAATAGCAGGGATTACAGGTGTGTACCTCCAAGCCCAGCTAATTTTTGTATTTTTAGTAGAGACGGGGTTTCACCATGTTGGCCAGGCTGGTCTTGAACTCCTGACCTCATGCGATCCATCAGCCTTGTCCTCCCAAAGTGCCGGGAATACAGGTGTGAGCCATGTATTCCCATGCCTGGCCTCAAATGCAGTTTGTTTTCATCCCAGTGACCTCACTGAAATGTTTTAAGACTATAGCCCTGGCTATACAATTTAACCAATTTAAGTTGTTAAATTTAAATTGTTAAATCTGCCCTTACAATTTAACCAATTCTAGATTTTAACCAATCCTATACTACAATCTCACTTCATTATAGCCTCTCTGATGAAGGCAGGTACGATACAGTAATAATGTGAGCCAGCTTTCCAACCAAATCTCAGGAAAATCTCAGGAAGAAAATTTACAGAGCAAAATGTATTTTGAAATGCTGCTGTTTTCACTGACTCTGAGGTGTAGTCTACAATAAACAAGCTTCAGTTAGTAAGCAAACTTGTTTTGACTACGGAACTCACTGTGAATGGGGTTGTTTATTTTTTGAGATGGAGTCACACTCTGTCGTCCAGGCTAGAGTGCAGTGGTGCGGTCTTAGCTCACTGTAACCTCTGTTTCCTGGGTTCAAGTGATTATCCTGTCTAAGCCTCCTGAGTGGCTACACTAGGCCCGGCTAATTTTTATGTTTTTAGTAGAGATGGGGTTTTGCCATGTTGGCCAGGCTGGTCTCGAACTCCTGGATCTTAGGTGATCTGCCCACCTTGGCCTCCCAAAGTGCTGGGATTACAGGTGTGAGCCACTGCACCTGGCCTAGGATTCTATTTCAAATGGCAATTTTATGATTTTTTTCCCTCACATTTGTCAGCCAGATCACCCCTTTCTCAGAGCCAGTTAAACTTGGTCTGAACCCCAATATCATGGCCTTAAGAGCATTCACAGCAAACTACCTGCACCCTCTTGCCCCCATGCCTGTCAATTCTCTCCTCAACTGAGCGTTCTTATATCTCTTTGCTCCAACATCCACATCCATGTTCGGCCTCATAAATTGCAAAGAAACAATCAAATCCAATCTTTATCAACATCAAAAGCAATCAACTCCTATAAAGCATTTCTTAATTTTGTATTTTGGGGCTCAGAAGGAGGTTAAATCACAACCCAGCTGATCACCTCTCCGCTGTCTTCTCACCATCTGACTTTCTTCCTTTCCTCCTCCCTACTTTCCAAAGTTAAAAAGCACAAAACAGTTACACCTTTAGCTGTTCTAGTATGAAGTATCTTTATTTTGCATTCATTCTTTTTTTAATTGAGACAGAGTTTCACCCAGGTTGGAGTGCACAGGCACGATCTCAACTCACTGCAACCTCCTCCTCCTAGGTTTCTCCTACCTAGCCTCCTGAGTGGCAGGAATTACAGGCGTGTGCCACCATGCCTGGCTAATTTTTGTGTTTTTAGTAGAGATGGGTTTTCAACATGTTGGCCTGGATGGCCTCGAACTCCTGACCTCAAGTGACCTGCCTGACTCGGCCTCCCAAAGTGCTGGGATTTACAGGCATGAGCCCCCGTGCCCAGCCTGCATTCATTCTTGACTGATGGTTTTCCTGAGTACAGAATTCTAAATTGATGACTTTTTCTCTCATCGCTTTGAAGCTATCATTGCACTATCTTCTTGCTTCTGCTTTTGCTGTTAAAATACAAGCCATCCGTCAGCCAGTTCCTTTTGGGTTATCTGTCTTTTCTCTAACTGCGTCCTCTCCTCCTGCCGCCTATCAATATTCCAGTTTTACTGTCATGTATCTAGTACTAGGATTTCTTTTTCTTGATCTAGTTTAGTATTCCTTGGCTTCTCCTGTCTGAGGACTCGCCACTTGGTAAAAGTCCTCAGCCATTGCTTTGCATACTGGCCATCCTCCATCCTAGGAGCTTTCTGTGGGAGGCTAATTCAACATGTAAGACCTTTGTTTTCTATTCCTCCAGATCTCTTAACCTTTCTTCTCTATTTTTAATCTCAGTCTCTTTAGGTGTAGCTTTCGTTTTGCCATCCCTTTCACTGTATCTAATCTGCTTAATCAATATGTTATGCTGTAAATTTTAAATTACCACATATGTATCATTTATAGACCCCTTTGGTTCTGTTCCAGACCTGCTTGGCCAACTTCGCTTCTTTTCATCCCATATCATGTTTTCTCTCTGCTCTTATTTTAGTCTACACCTGGTAATTCTAATATCTGTAATCTCTGAGAGTTTATGTAATTTGTTGTATTTGCTGACTGTCACTTAGGGTAGCTTGTTTCCTCGTAAGTTCATTTATATTAGAATGAGGTCATGTCCTTGGGACTCTATCTGAGGGGAATCTTTGAGCCTTGGTTTGAGGAGAGTTCCTCCGGAGAAGACATATGTTTACCTGTGCTGGGTTCACTACCAATACACTTTAAACCTCAAGCTTTTTTTCCCCCTCTTTTCCTTCCTAAGCCAAACAGTATGAATTCTGGCTCCAGACCAGTGTGAGTGTGGTCCTGTGTTTAAGAATTCTTTTTAATAGCTCCCATGGGGAGGATGCTGTCACTGTCTGGGAGTCCTTACGTTATCCACATGTCTCTTATGACCTCTCCTCTGGCCTCAGCCTTTAGCTCTGTGCCCCATGTTCACTGCCTATCAAAACTCAGGGTCTATGCCACCAGGAACCAGCAGATACTTTCAATGTCCACAATGGATCTACAGCACTGACACAGGCCTCAGAAAAATTCCTTTACTCTCCCACCAGCAACTATTTACTAAAAACATGTATATGTGTTCACAAATGTGTGTGTAATGTATCATCTAGCATATGTTTAGCTAAACTATTATCAGTAGGCACTTAATCCTCCATGTTGCCATAAATAGAAGCAGGCTTTTTTTTTAAAAGAATTATTCAAACTAATGAAATGCTATCTAAAATCAATCACTTTACTAAGAGACACAATAGTTCAGCAACAGCAGTTTGTTTTTAATTATACAATGACTAATGTTCAAAAATGTTTCAAATTATTACTATACCACC